CCTCCTCAGCAGTACTTAATAGAATGGAGGCATATTTGAGTCGTTGATGTCAGGATCGAAAAGATTGCACAATTATGGAAAAAAAACTTGACACCTTAAGTAGCGATGGTACTCCTTCCACTAGTGCCTATGGTACTTACGCTAATTATACTTTTAGCCAACAGAGATGCAGTCGAATTGCTCAGAGCAAGTAAAAAGCCATAATGAAGGGAAATACTTACCGAACCAGGCGAACTGGTCGCCCTGCACCTCAATGGCCAACCCAAAATCCGCCAACTTTACAGCGGCGCCACGGGTCTTGCTAGCAAGTAACAGGTTCTCCGGCTGCGAAATGGAACAGAAGTTGTAAACCGGGGAGGATTGCCTTGACAGTGTGTAATTTTAAGGTGAATGGATAAGTAGTTTGCAAGGCACGCCTACATGAGTTAGAGCTGGCATGTGATAACATGGCTCTTGGATATCGTTGTACTCCTCACATGCACACGCATTGTTGAATCAAAGAAGGCCGTCATACACTCACTTAGACAAAGAAGTGGCGAGTGAACAATTGAAACTGTGCAGGAGTAGAAAGAGGGCCAGAAATTGATGAGACTTCCGATGGTGCGTGGGATGGAAAAGGAAAGTCAATAGAGTTGCGCAACATTCTAACCATCATTTTGGCGCATTTTTGGCATATGGTAGCGATAAAAATGAAGGGGAAGTGGAAAATTGCTTTGCACCTTGACCGTACTGAGTTTTCCAGTCGCTCGCAGGGTTCATTTACCAGTACCTTAGTTCCATAAAACCCTTAGAGGAAGACATGTTGTGAAAGCACACACACACAGCCACTTTAAGTGGTAGAAAAGTTCAAGGCGACACAAAAATCTGCTTGTTCTCGAAGGGACAAAACCTAGCCCCTGTAAATACATCACGAGATTGGCAGCTAAATGAGAAAAGCTTAGCGGTAGTCAAGGTAACAACGACAATGCTGCTATTATTTTGAATAAGTCCATGCCTGTTTAAATTATGCAATTCGGATTTTATTCATTACCGATGTCTGCTTCATTGCCCCTACCAGTTTAAAAGGTGATTGGGCCAAAACTGAGAAGCCAGACTCCAAAGAATTAATTCATAAACTCATCGAAATCATAACCATACATTTGTCACATCATCAAAGCCTAGCAATCGACATGGAAATTATCAACCCGTATATCTCCCTTCGAGAAAAATCGGGAAACCAATGACAAACTGCACGTATATTGGCAAGGTCACGAGAAGAAATCCGAGACATAGGAGCTAATAATAAGTAGAAAAACTACTTACACAGCATCCACAAGGAAAGGGGATCAAAGCTAGTGTGAGGCTGTCTACGAGACGACAAATTTATCAAAAAGGGCAACTCCTGAGCACCACAGTTACTGATTCACAAGTGTAGTCCGGTACAGGAAGCAGCTGTACTGGTTAGCGACAATTTCTAAAAACAAACGATCGGAAGACACTTTAGTAGTCACCTGAAGACTGGCGTCAAGAAAAACAAGTTTGAAGAGTTTTCAGACTTTAACGTGCCACCAACTTCTACCTTTCGGCTTCACCAAGCGATAAGCAGGGTGGACCAGCCGATTGAACATTGGAGCGTGTTATTTCAGAAGACGGATTGCGCAGGATTTACAAGTGATGAAACTGATTGTAGATAAACTGAGGACCCCAGCGACGAGCTATGGTCATTCCAAAAAACCAACACATGTGAGAGCGACAAGGAACTTAAGATCAAGGCAAGTGAAAGCCATATTTTGTGGAGGGAAGATAAAATATGAAAAGGCCGATTGATACACAAGTAGTGTAACCGATTGGGTAAGACAGCTCAAATTTGTCTAGACTATCAATTTAACAATATTCAAAGATGCATCAATTTTGGCGTTCGGAGATAGAACAACTAGGTAATGTCACAACAATTATCGTTAAGAAGGCACAAAGGTCGCTTCGCAAATATGCCCTCCCCATTCCCAAAAAAGCTACAAGTGGTGGTCTCAAGACTGAGGTAGCTTAGTTTTCAACTAACCTCACACCCACATCACATATTCGGAATTACATTTCAGCAAAAAAAGGCCTCAATTATGATTCACTTACAGGAAAACATAATGCTGCAAATAAGATTGGGTAGCTTAAAGCAGTCACACACGCACACACACGAAGCAGGGAACTCAACACGTGAAGGAATAAAAATAAGTGAAAATCTCTTAAGAAGCATTGAAAAGTGTGAATTCTTCGTGGAAAGGATTGGGAAAATTCCTCGAGGTTAAATGTTACAGCAGACAGCGGGAGCAAGACAACACCAAGGAGCATGCAAACAAGGGAGTGATTTTGATTCTTCAGTGTTAGACAAAATTCTATGTACGTAAAGCAAGATGCTGATTTAGGGATGATCATGCAACTCAACCAACCTTGAGATCCCGATGGACAATATTATTTTGGTGGCAATAGTTGACGCTCTCAAGAATCTGTTTCATGCAGTTGCTAAAGGCAAGGAGTGTGAGATGAGTCCACCATTGCCCATGCCCCTTTCAACACCAATTTATTGGATACGGCATGAACCGAGTCTACTACATTTAAAATCGTTATTTTCCCCTGCCTTTCGGTATGTATGCTGAGACTTGAAAAGGTGGAATCTAGTTGGGTAGACAAAAGTACGGAGTTAAAAATTACAGCACACCTAGCATCTGCCTCACTGTAGTATTCCCTAGCAACGATGTCTTCAAAGAGTTCTCCACCTGTTACACTGAAAAAGAAATAGAGTAATAATTCCCAATACCAATTTTCAAAAATAGAATAACGTAGACAAACTTACAGATCGAAGACAAGGTAATGGTGATTTTCATCTTGAATTGAGTCATGCAACCGGACTGTTTCCAAAAAGAGGAAAAACAGACGTACTTTAAATGATGCGATGATAAATCCGATCAAGTCATACGCAATTAAGTATTGTTTAGAAGCACATGGCCTAAGCTAAAGAAGGTGCAAAATCACCTATATTTGGGTGCTTGAGACGTCGACAAATGCGAGCCTCACGTTCAAGTTTTTGCATATCTAAAGAAGAAATTGTTTAGTGTAAAAAGCACCACTCAGATGTGCTGACGAAAATTCAAATTAAAGAAAACTCCCACGTGTTGCAGAGAGCAGTACAAAAAGAATGGGATTCCCCATACAGAGCTTCAGGAGCAAATGTGTGGTGCGAAAGATGGCAGGCAATTTCATTTGATCGATACAAAATTAGAGGTGATTGAAATCTCATAATATAAATAGCAGCAAACCCTAAGAGAAATGCGCTATAACCTATGGAAATGGAAGTAAAAAATGAACAATTGAACAATTTTAAGGGAGATGAATTATGATCAAATACCGAAAATACCAACTAAAGTGGAAGTAGATGCCTACTTATAGAGAGCAAAGACAGTAGATGTCATAATGACATGTCAGTCAGGTATGAAATCGAACATAGCAGGTAAATTATAAGCAGTACAGTACCGCGGGTAGCGAGTCGTTTTGTACTAATTATTTTGGCAGCGAATTCGAGATTTGTTGATATTTGTATGCATCGCCTCACAACAGAAAAAGCGCCACTGTAAAAGTACACAGTTAGTACAGCCACAGGAATTTACCGCCCAAGCTCCTCTTTCAATTCATAAAGGCTAGCAAAATCAGGCGAACCCTGAGCAGCCATCTTTGCACGACAAATTTGAAAACGCCACTGTTACAGTGGTCCATTAAATCACAAACTCAAGGTCAAAAAGCGTGCAAGTGCAAAGGGGCCAGTGTTTAAAGCAATTCAAAACAAATTAATTCAAAGTGTATTATCATGATACAACTGTTACTTTGTCAGGTGAAATTAGGTCATTGTAAGCATATTTAATGCGTGTTTATTCACGCCATGTAGTTTATAATCTATTTTTCAAAATAACGAGTTAGCTATTATTCTATCTTCTAACTTTACTGTATCTTCTTGTTATCTAATGCTTTATACTTTGCGTATGCCTTGTAACCCCTCCAGTCTATTTTATAGATAACTAGGGTTAAGATTTTTAGCTAAATGTGGAAAGAGCGCAACCTTTGTTATGGTCTGGTCGTCACCTCACCCGGTCAACGCAGCATGATCACTTGGGTGGCCTCAACACACACCATATTCGAGCGAAACGCTACACACCATACCCTTCTTTATCTAACTGAAATCCCTGAGTCATTGATGGAAAAAATGGTATTGGTATTGGTTATTCAAGTCATCATTCATTCATAAAAGAAGTGAAGCACTGTTCCCTCTCTACGATTCTAACAGATCTGATGCTTTGTCCGATGAAAAATGGGATTTCGAAATGGATGTTTCTGCTCATTGGCATAATTGTCCATGGCCAGACGATAAAATTGATGATGTCAAAGTGATTACTTAAGGTTGAGCATTGAAATTCAGCATAATGTTGTGTGGACAGTTTCTCGATCAATTTCATACTCTCGACATCCTTACGCAGATATTGTTGTGGCTACGGCGAATCGTATCTGTTTCAGATGACTCGCAGGGGGTGTTGTTGACAGCTTTTTAACTTAACGCAGTAATGGTGTGCTTTCTGAAGGCAAGCATAATTCGCAGCTTTTCCGTTGTGGCGAAGACAGGCATTCCCTTATTCAAAGTATACCTACATTACTCACACCGTCAAAGTTCGCCAATAAAAGTCGGAAGCCAAGGTCGCCTTTTGGTTACCACTAATGTGGGGTTATGAGGCTACTTTACAGAAAAGTGGAGACATAATACTAAAGTAGAATGCATAAACTTACCAAACGAAGGGAAAGCAGAGCACTTGGAAACGGAGCTAACGTAATGTGGCCATCAAAGTGATTGTAAACCAAACCGGCAGCCAAACAAGCACTACGTATTTTCATCTCCCTTTTTTAAGTCTCGTTTTTAAAGGTTGGTAAAGCTGGAGATCTAAGTGCTCCTATCATCATCCCTCTTGTTAACAACTCTCCAAAAATCATGAACATTCTAAATTGTCGCATGGCACAGGTGCAATCTTTGGGGGCGTAATACAATGTGGTGTGAGCGATCATGGGGTCAACATATTTGACTTTGCTGAGTCACCTTTCTCCTTTCGACGCGTCTTGTGGAAAAGTTGCACACGCCAAAAGAATAAACTCTGGAGCCATCAAATATACTTTGGAAAAATTGTGCTTAATGCTGAAATTGTCTCTTGCCTTGGTTTAGGCAAAACGAAAAGGAAAACAAATCAACCAAAGCCTTTTAGTTCAGGCAGTAGTTTAATCAAAGGCTTTAGCTCTTTTAAAATTTGGAAATGCTAAAATGAGTATGAGGTGTCATATTCAACACTTATGGCTGAACTCTCTTTGGACTGATTTTTTGATAGTTCGATGAATTTTGGCAAATCCATTCGCTCCTGCTACACCCCGTTCTTTCTTCAAGTTCTTCCTTACACAAAGCAACACCAAAGTCTTGTAGAGGGGATAAGAGACTACCAGTCGAAATGTTGTGCCACAAATTTACACCTAATTTACTAAGACAGCAAACCTGCGCTTTGTCCCTCCTTTTCTCAGAGAGCCACCCTCGGTCCACTCCTTGGTCTACCTCCAGTGTGGGGATCAGCTTCAGTGATTAGCCTCCATCAATTGGAAAGGTGTTTGACCTCTACCTTATTCATGCGCCTTTGCAACTTCACGGTGGATGGAGTTACGCTTTACTTGACTTGCACTGCTTTCACGCCGTTGGAGACCAGACGAGGGCGTCTCGTCGCACGCAAAGTGTCATTCATGCGCCCTCCGCTAAGGGGCAGAATTAAAACCGCTTTTAATGTTTTACATCTATTCTATTCGTTAATCGTCTTCTTCCCAGTGAACATGGCTGATGCCATTTAGGACGGATATAGAGTGCCTCACGTCTTGGCTGAAGTCGTAGTGGACGAAATTCCACATTACTGGGACAGGTGAGATTTGAGTTTGCAGATGATAGACCTTCTTTGGAGGCCATAAACAACAGCATAAAAAGAAAAGCTGTTTGATAATTGAAAACGATTGGGATCAGATGGCTTATTTTCTTACCACTCCATGTTTCTATACATTTGTCATTGAAATTTCGGGATGGGCTGCAAAGGGCAACGAGTCAAGTAGCACAAAATTTTTATGTGGAAAGCTACGCAACCGGATGTAACACACGATGCTTGAATGAGTCGTATGAGGCGCTACTCATCGCGAATCGCGAGTGGCCCACGTCTTATTTTGAGGATGTGTCAGTTGAATGCACCGTTTCCACTAAATGAGGGCCATAGTGTTGACCCACATGTCACCGTGTATTTTCACCTCTCCGCGAATCCAAAAGAGGTACAAAAGCCAAACCAATGTCCTTCTACGCCCGCTAAAGAAAACTTAGTGAATCGCATGCAGTGCAGAATGGTCTTCATCCGTCTGGCACAATGCAGCACAACCATCCATCAAGCTCACCTGACACCGTGCACGTGCACGCACGCACGCATGCATGCACGCAGGTAGGCAGAGTTGAAGGCACAAAGTAAACATTAGCTGAGCTTGTCACACGACAAAACGGTCTCACTGCACAGACCACACGGTGAGTGGGTGCAATATTGCTGGTGGCGCGGAATTTGTACTGCCGTCACTTTTCTCCCTCATTGTCCCTTCCTGAAGAAGTGGGTTTAATGTTTCCATTCTGGGTGAGGCAGGAGTGGAGTGGGAAGCCAGTGACTCATCGCTTTGTGGAGTTGATTAGTCAGACCCCTCGTTGGGTGACAATTACGCGGTGTGTCACAGAGAGAAGTCGGGCTGGTTTTCGGCCTACGGAGCAGACACAGACTGGGTTTCGCAACTCTAAAGTGGCTTTGACAACCTCAGCTTCCTTTGTTGACAGTGAGAATCGTTGAATGCTGCTCGAAAAGTGAATAAAGTGGGTCAGATAGTTGAGAGAAATGTTCTCCTTTGGGTGTGGCAAAACTATTCCTCAATCAAAGATTCAGGCATAGCTCATGAGAGCATTAAATCAGTGCATCGTTCACTAATCCAGCTTGATATCTGGCGGTGCTTTGGTAAATTTGAAATGTCGCCCTTTCCTTAAACATTCACTTGGCTCCGGTTTAGGGTGTATCGCACACTACCAGTCGCCCACGGCTGGGTGTCAAGTTTAATCTCGTAAACTGGCGAAGTGGCTCATTGAATGACGCTGTTGCGCGACCGAGACGCGATGCACAGGACTAGCGAGACAAAACCGCGCAGACTCCCACAGGCCATCCACTTTTACACGACCCCTAATACCATTTCCACTGGTGTCTAGGCTTCCATCTAATCACAGTAACAAACTACCTCAGCCTAAGTCCAAGAGGACGTCCCACGCTCCTCCACAAGCATGGGTGACCCGTCTGCCCCTGTGACAGAATGCGAACTGAAAGCGTATTGGTGTATCTGCGAGTCGAATCATGACTGAGCAACCCAATCAGGGAGCAGGACAACAATGACCCTAAGGTTCGGAACCCATTCTCCCTTCCCCCACCCTCCCAGAAAAAGCGCCCTGAAGAACAGAGTCAAATCGTAACAAACGCATTATTGAAGCAGTGAAATCGGGTCCAGCTACCCAAAAAGCGCCGAAAGTACAGGGAAGGCAACTTGTGGATTCCAAGGCTAGCAGAAAAACGCATCCATTGCAGAACATATGACAGATGAGTCATTAAAAGAACCTTGGAAACAGTGACAAATCGACGAAGCAATCAATACATGTCGGTAACTTTCCTCTGGGCGCCAAAGGTGATACCCGACTGGTTGGCACCTCCGACGTAACCCATCTGAAGGCCGATCACCGACTCACCGGCCTTCAGTTGCTCCTCTGTGAAGGTTCTCCTATTCTCCGTGTGACGATGCATCCAGTAGCCCTCGGGTCCATTGTAACCTGGTTTGGCTTGTGCCTCCACGCCCAGTTGTGACAAACAGATCACCACTTGTGGCAGATTTGTCATCTCATACAACTGGTCAGTCTGGAATGCGGAGGCAGAGCCAACTCCCATCTCCTGACAGAAATTGATAAAAGCGCCAATCCTCTCACGCCGACGATTAGTTTCAAAGATAGGCTTGTCCGAAACCTTCCACATAGTCTTCCCCAGACGCTGTGAGATCTCATCTGGTTTGAGACATCCTATGAGGTAGCCCAAAACGAGACCATCCTTAAGGTAATTATGAAAATCCTCCGCCTTCACAGTGGCGATATCGCTTGGAATTTTCTGGGCCGCATCGCATAGCACTTGAGGGATGCTCCCAGTGGGTTTGAGAAGACGCACCCACTTGAGCGCCTTCGCTGCCTCCTCAGCATCATACTTCTCCATGATCCGCATCTGCACATCACGAGCGAAGCCTGACTTAGCGGCGCGATAATCAGAATCCATACCAGGAAACTGCCAGAGGGTGGGTAAACGACCGTGTAGTGTCTTATTTCACTGAGCTTTTACGTTTGATTCGCTCAAAGCTTGGCCAATCGGCTGGCAGCTTTTGCCATGAGAACCAATTAAGGAGCGCTCAGTTTGGACGTGCGAACGTGTGTGCATGTGCGTTGGGTGCATTCGCGCAATTGTGAGGGTAGCAGGCATCATCCTGTGGCGCATCAACCCTCCAACCTGGGAGACCAATTTATCATTAAAATGGCAATAAAGTGGGACTTACCTCCACTGCGTCCAAATTTAAAATTGTATGGCAATAAATTCGTAGGATAAGTTCTAGTCTCAATCAAGCTAAGGATTATTCGTGATGGCAATTGTCTACTCCAGCACTTGTGACCAACATCAAGTCTGCTCCACAATCACTCATAAAAGAGCATTTTTAACATGCGTGCTAAAATCAATAGAAGTTGTGACTCAACCGTTTTTCCCAGAACAATTGCTAGTGCTTAGTCCCTATTGCTAACGGGATCCGAGTTCTCCACGCAATTTATTGCGCAGTTATTGCTGCAGTGTTTGAAACCCTATCGCCATGGCTTAGTGTTGCGTCGATTCGCCAATCTACTAACAGGGAAAGTCAAATTATGAGAAGCGGAAGGCCCTGCAACGCACTTTAAGCTATTTACCCGCCGGAATGTTCTATGCTGAGCGGTTATAAGCATTAGTTTGTGGTGGTATTGATCTTAAGGCAGTCCACTCGAGAACCGACTGAGCTGTCATCCTATTTTGATTCGAGAACCCCAGTAGATGGATGATCTGTGCATCGATTTATCGATCCACCAGCTATTGGAATTTTATTGTGTGGTTCACTTTAGTGAGGGCATATAAATTCGAAAATGCTTACCTCACCTCCACTTGGAAGTGAAGATAAGCCTCTTCAATTAAGTTACTTCTCCTTTGCTTTTTATATCGTTGTCCGAATGAAAATTGTCAACCGAGATTCAATTAATTAGTTTTGTGTGATTAGTCAGGTCAATTTAACGGTTTGGAAGGATAATAGTAAAATCAGTTGGATTATCATATTTGGGTGAAAATGAAAAATAACAAAATTCTCTATTAGCATTACTGATAACAAAGAAGATAATTAAACGCAAGGCTGGTCTCATTGGCTTCACATTCCATAGAAACTGAATCACACTATCCTTAGTTAGCAGGCAGGCACCAAGCTTGCTACCTTTCACACTCAAGTTGCCCAATTGGATTTTTTGGGGCTGATGTGTATGTATGCGCCTAACGATCCAATGGCACGATGTCATCACGAATACAAAAGCATCAGGGTGTAACCTGAGGCCCTCAGAGCCGAATTGATGGAGTACCGAGCAACAAAATCGGGTCTATCGCGTGAGGTGCAGAATCGCATCAACGAAAAGTACAACGCAGAAGAGGCGGCGAAGGTCTTGAAATGGATTCGGCTTCTCAACCCTCCATCGAGCATTTCTGATGACCTAGTAAAAGCAGCACAGGAGATCCCCGAGGATATCACTTCGGCTCCATCTGAGGATTTCTACCGGTACCTCAAGTCGGGACTCGTTTTGGGTTACCTTATGGCTTGCCTCAAGCCGGACGAAATTTCACGTTTTGGTGCAAACATGTGGAAGGTTTCGGACAAGCCGATCTTTGAAACTAATCGTCAACGTGAGAGGATTGGTGCTTTTATCAATTTCTGTCAGGAGATGGGAGTTGGCTCTGCCTCCGCATTCCAGACTGACCAGTTGTATGAGATGACAAATCTGCCACAAGTGGTGATCTGTTTGTCACAACTGGGCGTGGAGGCACAAGCCAAACCAGGTTACAATGGACCCGAGGGCTATTGGGTGCATCGTCACACGGAGAATAAACGAAACTTTACTGATGAGCAACTCAAACAGGGAGAATCTGTGATGCGATTGCAGATGGCCTATACTGGTGGGGCCACTGCCTCTGGTGTGTCTTTTGGTGCTCGGCGAAACGTAACAGATACCTTCTAGTTTGTCGATCGAAGTACTTTTATCGCAGTAGCGAAACAGACTAAAACAAAATTCATATTTTTATGCGATATCCACTAAAATATAAATCATCAATCTTTTTTGTCTTTCTAAAGCTGCCTTTCCATTACCCTTTTGGATGGAGACTGACATTCATCTCAGTAAATGGATTCACCAGCTTTTTGTCACCATAATAGCATTTGAATGGTTTAATCAGGAGCTACATACTGCCCATCAAATCAAGCGTTGTCAATAGTTTGAAGAAAGACTGGAATGACCTTTGCTTTGTTGTAATTTTGAGCCGTGGGCTATGCACTTACTTTGTTTAAACAACAAGTCGTAAAAATAAGTTCATTAATATCATTGTGCACTTTTTTGGAGCATCATTTTTCCAACCCAAACCCATGCATATGCGTCCCGACAAATTCGCCGCCGATGAGTTCACAAAGCACGTGTTTGGTGAGCTCAAGTTTAGGCAATACGTCTGCACCACCAGAACACCTGTGCCGACACCCACGCATCGACGACACTTGCAGCAACATCAGCAGCAGTGGTGCTACCGAAGGTGTCAGAGTGCCTTCCAAAGCCCTTCACCAACGTTGCGGGAATGAGTATCGATCCGCAGAGTCGCCTGTGGGGGAAGAGGAGGTGTGAAGCGGAGGTGCAGCCATAAAATCGATATCCTGTCGCACTGGTGCTGTGTTCTAGGCCCTGTCGTCTCTCTCCCCCACTTCATAACCCCGATGCAGTGCCCTGAGGGTGTCAGCATACCTGATGGGCTGAAGGCGTGGGGCTCACGCGAGAAGAGGGTAACTATTCGGGTTTTGCTAGGTGTTAGCAACGCTACTGCTTATGATAGGCGACGAGATCCGTGGTTGCGTCAGCTTGCATAATCAAACCTGGTGACTGCATTTTTTTGCAACTGTCCTAATGTGCAGGTGGTGGGAAATGAAGCACAAGAAAATCAAACATTCGTTGCGATGCACATCAATGAACATGTAAAATGTCAACCGCAATTACTAAACCACAGTCATGATAATGTGGAAGGCGGTAGAAGGCTTCAACACTACCGGGAACCTACAAATCAGAACACAGAAATGGTATTAGTTGAGAATTGATGAATATCACATGACCTCATCTGCATACGCATAGGAAACAAAAGCACACGACGTTTCACCCCACTCCAACCTACTTGATCCCAAAATTTTTCACGTGCTGATTGCATATGCCTCTGAAGGTACGTACCTCGGCCCTCTTATTTGGTGACTATTTTAGGCTGATACCTCTCCCCTCCCCTTGGGAATATGCAAATTTTGGCGAGTCTCCGATTCTCATTAACATTTACAAAGCTAACGAAGGTAGTCCAAGCGTTGATTCAGGTGGTGGTAGGCTATTGTTCTCAGCAAACTTCACCGTGGCATTATGATAGATGGCAGCGATTCCGTCTGGACTTGGTAGCTGTTGTACCCTCAGGCTTTAACAGAAATGCTGGTTTATAATTTAAAAAAGGCACTTCCGACCCTTAGAAAAGGAAGTTTGATGAGTGTGTGTGTGTGTGTGTTTGATGATGTTTTACAAACTGTTGATGCCTTTTAATTAACCAAGTTTATTCCATATCTTAAGCAGCAAGTTGTCGTCACTTTTTTAACCCGTGAGACCTCCAAAAAGGACTTTTTTGAAGTACAAATCACCTATTAAAACCAGTTCACCTCACTTCTTTTGTGGCCTCAATGTTCTGCAAAGAAAACACAAAAACACAAGATCGGTTATAGCTGGATCTGTCACCAACTGAGTGGCCAATCAGCAAAACTGTGCAATTCAATAGGACATTCCTCTTCAAACCGAGCACTTTTACTTGAATTATCATTAAAATCTTGTATTGTAAATGCATGAAAATGATCTCATCCACGTGCACTTAATCACAACACATCTCGATGCAGGGGCCCAAAGATTGCTTTCGGTAAACTTGAGGATTTTTTTGCATGAGAATAGACCGAGTTCGACCTCGTTCAGCGCAGCGGACCCTTCAGCGCTGCAATCGCTGCACTGCGCAACCGAGTCGCGACGAACTGACTGACCGTTCAGTCTCCGAAACAAACCTTGCTTTTAAATGAATGTTATCGCCACCCTTAGCCATGAACTGCTTCGAGGGGAAAATAATTGCAATTCTTGTTTGGAACCTCCACTATCTGGGCCGTAAATTGAGGTCCAACCTCGCTCGTAATTTCCTTAATATTGATATTACTGAGCAAAGTGGAGAAACAAATTGCTAGCACAAATTATATCGAAATACATGAAAGGCGAGCCATGGAAAAAAATAAGCAAAACGCTAAACGCAGTCTTGTTGACTCCGTGCTGCGAAATTTAGTGGCATCTTTTTTTCCTCTAGAGCTCCGCCAGACGATATTTTAAGCTGAGTGATTAAAATTGAAATCAAATGGTTCGACTGATTTCCTAGAGAGAAGAAACTTAATTCCAGGCAATAATTGTTACTGCTCTTACCGAAAGTGGTCGGTTTATGCACAGTGCATTTAGACGCTTCGCATACTTTAAAAACCCATTTTGCAAGTCTGCGCATGATGGTTGCCAAACGGAGAGAAAGTTTGCGCGAAATGAGAACAAGATAGAATAAAATGATCACGAATGGTGGCGCCATCTGATCGCATAGACCTTTGTAATGCCGTTTGTTTTTCAACTCCTCTTAGCCACAAGAACAATAAATGCAAAAAGGTGTCCTTTGCCCCGATAGTATCAAAATATTTTTTACTACAAAGGCATGACTAGAGATGATTGAGGCGCACACGGCCCTCTCCGCATTTAAATTACGTCATAACGCCGTGGTCCGAGCATCACCATTCAGGTGGGGCGAACTGAGGGACTAATAGGCGTGTAGCCAAGCCGGTGTGCAGCAAATTTGAATTCCGCAAAAGAGGGTACAACGGTTATGTGGGTATAAATCAACAAAGTAGTATTTACGACAAAATTTACTCAAGTCTCATGTTGTGTCATCTATTAGTGCCATAGCCTAATTTAAAACGCAACAAACTAATTCCTAACCTAGTTTCCATTTCCTTGAACTTTTATTTTACAATTTTATTTATCAAAAACCGGTCTTAGATTCGTCGAGTTTAGCCCCAATACCTATACAGAAAATATAGCAAAATTCTGTGTCACGATCTGTTTACGGTGAAGCAGCTACATATGGCAGTTCTGCAATTGGAATCGGTAAACGCCTAGAACAGAGATGACCGAAGACTATCCCAACCATGACCAGCTTCAAAGTAAACTCACCTAAAATTAGGACTTATTCTTGCCGACTAAACAGAGCATACCCTCCCATCCCCAAAGTTAAATTACTCATATATTAGGCATTAGACATAAGGCCCGTTCCTAAGGATGATTGACACAGCTCTTCTCGACGGACCAATCTTGCGACTATGGGGTAGATGGCATTTCACTAAATTCGTGTTCAATACAGGCGCTCATGCCTATGGAAACAGTAAGGTCGATACCACCATAACCAATGGCAGGTTCCATAGAGTGTTAACTACGAAGGCTCTTGACTCGGTGCGTTTTATTTCCACTTGTTAAAATGGTTGTAAGTCATTGTGAAAGGCAGGGATATTCCTACGTGCCAGTATGTTAGCATCCCCTT